ATATAGTGTTGAATGCATTGCCAGCATGACTGCTCGTGTCAAATCCAAAATAGCTCAGGAAGCTGAGGAAAGTCAAAGCAGAAGTTAAGGGGAGGAGAGTTTCGCTCTCCCTATGCCTAGACCTGAGGGCATCTCATTCCAGACTCCATCCCCAATGCATTCAGTTACCAACGTGCCCAGTTTCACTCAAGAGTGGTAACAAACTACATGTACTACCCTGGCTTCCACATGTTCCTAATGGAGGCTTTACAAATGCCAATATATGCATTTTGCACAAGTTTTAACATCTGATAAGATTATACATTAAAAGGTTGGATTTTGTCTTGCCAGCTTGCAGGGAGTATTTTCCTCCCAGTCGTCCACAGTCCATGTATAGTTAATAAAGCAGTAGCATTATGATAGCAGTTAAACAAACTACAACTAATAATAAATTCAATATATTAACTAGAACATATAGTCCACATTCTGGATGGAAAATGGCTCTACTTAGACATAGTTGAAGTACTCCAAAGCAACTGATCATGTGGGATAGGAAAGGTCTTTCCAAGAAAAGCTTCGAAAAAGTCAACACTGCAAACAAGTAATACCTATATTAATTTAGAAAATGGATGTTTAATCTAAATAGGCATAGAAGGGCCTTACATGTAAGATTACACACCTTTCCAAATCTCAGACATCTTCCAGAAAGGTGGTTTTCAATATGTGGGCTTTGCCTAAGAACAAGATTTGTGATCACAGGTAAAGGATCCCAACCCATGAACAACTGGAACACACAGGAAGGGAATACTTTTATAAATAGTCTAATTTAAAAAATACATAGATATAAAAGTTGCTCCTCCCCCTTGTGTCCCCCCCCCCCCCCCCCTCAAAAAAAAAGAAGTGCCATTTATATTTAGGTTGTGGAAATAACTTCTTCCCCTTGTTTTCTCCTCTAAGCTGAGCTGGTGCTAAGGGCAATTTCAGGGTAACCAGTAAACCTAATAGGATTCCATCCCTTCCTGAGCAGCAGTCCTCCACAATCAGGAAACTGAACTGACCTGCAACCAAAGGCAATTCTCAATACTTAGGTGGACTGTTCTAGAAGTTGATATTGTGGTATGCTGATGTTTGTTTTTAAAATGGGTTTGGTTTTGAGTATAGCTAGCAAACAGCTCCCTGCTATACAGCAAGATTCAAAAGCAAACTCCTAGAGTCAAATATCTCCCATCAAAATTAAACAGTCACCTCATGCAGAACTTCTCAAACTCTAAGCCAAAGGAGACTGCTAAAAGACAAAGGAAATACTAGGCAATTTATTTTTTTTTTGTGTAAGACACAGAAGGTAAGAAATACTTGGGAATATAATAAAGAACTATCCTATTCTATACAAAAAGTCTTCAAATAATTTGAATAACAATTATGATATACATATACTGTAAATCTGGGCTCCTTTAAGCCTACAAACCATGTAAGTTCCAGCAGTAGCCCATATCAATAAAATTTATCTCTTCCTCAATCTGTACATTCACAATGCATAAAATAGTACCAGCCCTATTAAATTAATATTTATGACAAGCTCAGGGAACCAGAAGACAAGCAGTATTTGCTAAGGCACAAATGCAATGTACAAATCTCACATAGTTGCAGTGCCCACTTTCTAAAAAAATGAACCTCAGCTTGGAGGAGCAATTTGTTTTTGGGAAACACAAAAGAGAGACATGCTGTGCCATGCTGGGAAGACAAATGAAAACACAAATACAATCAATATAATTTATGGTTTTATACTGAATCTAAAGTGTTCTCAAGTTCAGTGCTTTCAGTATGTGCACATAGCACTGTAGATATTCTGCCAGCTTTTTTTCAGAGTAGCTATGATCTTCAACATCTGTCCCAACAATACCTCAGAGATGGCGACAGGGGTATTTCTTCACAGCCTCAGTTCAAGTTACAAGGTATTAGAGCTGAACAAGCTGACAGACTTGGTTCTGCCCTAACAGACATGCTGTGAACAGCAGCAGCAGCAGCATCAAGGTGGACTTGCAGTCTCCTTTTTTACACCAGCCAGCCAAGGACAAGAGACTATGGACAGTGTTTCCCAGGAAGATTATGATGATGGGCTTTGCATAATCTGCTCTACAGCAAATATGCACCACTTGTTAAAAAAAAAAATAAATCCAAGACTTAAGAAAGGGGAAGATAACCATCAAGACAAAAAACATCCACAGAAGTGTTCTCTAGGTTTCTTTATCTTTAACTCTTTTATCAAGGAGAGAGACGACAGATAAAATTTCAGAAGTCCAATGAGGTTAAAGAAAGGGAAAAAACAACCAAACCCGAAAAAAACCATACACACAACAAATGTCCTTTCCACATACTGCCAAGTATGATTTTTTTTTTTGGAGCCACATCAGTGATTTGGCTTTCCAAACACACAGTGAATCTCTCAAAGGTAAAATTAATGGTTGTACACTACTTGGAATGTTATAGATACTGTTCCGATACTTCTGCTGGGAGAAACTCGGTGTTCCAGAAAGCTGTACTGGGACACTCACTAGAGGAATATTTTTTTCAAGACATCTCAGGAAGCTGTCAAAGGAGCCTACCAGTCAGGGAGAAGTAATACATTGCAATCTGCACAGTTAATGTTGACTCAGAAGACTGTAGGAAGAGAAGCTTTATCAAACACACAAAAGGCTGCACTGAATGTTTCACAGCTGAACTGTTTCATATACCAAAGTACATTCTTCTGCCAAAAATACATGAAACCACGGGCATTTTTTCCATGAGCTTTTACTGAAAGAAAAGTAATCTGCCTGGTAGAAGGAACAGCAAAATTTTTCTCCCCCTTCACTTCCCCGACCTGTGCCCCCACCCCCCAGGATAGTTGAGATATTTTAAATACTGCATTTTGGGTAGCAACATTCCAAATCTTTTAAATATTTTAAGGCAACATTCCCCTTTTGAAATACTTGGGGGTTTATTTATTATTTCTGCCAGGAGTACAGTAATTAACTGTTGCTTACCTACACTTAATATCACATTCAGGAGCAGGAGTCTGAGAAAGTATACTTTCATGTCGTAAGGAATCACCAGACAGGACAATCTGGCAAACTCACACTTTATCCATCTCTTTGCCCACACAAAATTGCCTAAGGACACCAGCATCCTCAGCACAAAAACCCACTGTAGTAAAAAATATCCAGCATATTCAAACTGCATACAGAACTGCATGTAAAAATCTTACTCTAGCTACACACCTACCATTATAGTAGCAAATCACACCTGATAAATAAAGAGGTGAACTTGAAAATTGATTCTCCATGATGAGCTATGGAAATACATTTTATTTCACAAAGTGACAGCAATCCAACAAGCAGAAACCATAATTTTTCAAAATGTAAATTTAAAAAAAAAATTAGCTGATTAGTGATAATCTTAAATATTTAAACAAACCCATTCACACAATCAAAACTCGCTCTTTAGTGGTTAAACTACTCCAGGAATTTTGGCACATAGTTTTTTTACAAATTAAGTATTGTTTTACACGTCCCAAATGTGTTAGTCATAAACATTAGCAGAGGAATACAAATCACAACTTTTTAATAACCCTGCAGTAATTCTGAACTTGTTCATCTGAACTTATTTAGCTTGTTTTTCCTTCATGACTGGATAAAGCAGACTGCAGTGCCAGGTCTTGGCTCCATCAGTTGCTCATTAAACAAGATCTGGAATTTAGCATTGGATTGAATACACATGGGAACTCATGTGAAGCTGCTCATATATCATTGATAGCTCCGTTGCTAACACAGAGTTTATCCAAGACCGTACATTTTTCGTTGACTTGAACAAAGCTGTTCACCATCCTCTGTTTTTGACGTCAGTGGACAACTACCCACTAACAGTATCTGTCACTACAAAATGCTTGGAATTTCCTCACTTATAAAAGCTGGAAAGTTTCAAGTACAGACCTTTCATTAAAAAACAAAACAAAGCAATATTAGATTTTTCAGGATAAGAATATTTTGTGAATATTATAAGACATTTTCATTCTCACTGAATGTTTTTTTCCAGTAATTTAAGAATTCAAATATAAACAGCATCACTGACTATAAAGAATGGATGTTCAAAACCATAATTTCCCTCTTCTGTTCTTAAAAGTCATGGACTCAAATGTATGCTAATTCCTCAACATGTAAGCACCGCAGTGAGGTGATTCAGATTTTTCCCATTAACCGGACACTACAATCATTCCAGTAGGATCCAACTTGGATGGTATCTATTATTTAACAAAAATGCAGAAAAACACACCCTTAGTATAAAACAGGTTATTCACATTCACTGCCTCTTTTCTACAACTCCTTTATTCTTACAAGCAAAACAGCCCATATTGGAGAGAGTCATGCTGGTGGACACTCCCTCCAGAGCACAGAATTACCTCCTGAGAACACACAGTGTCCCTTTTAGGCAAGCTCCGTGCAGGCTGCCGGGGTAGCCTGTGGCGCTAGTGTGAGCCAGGAGCACAACAACTGACTGCATGTCCCCAGTTCAGACACACATCTGGGCAGGGAGACGCATAATACCCCGATGGAAGCTTTTGTGCCGACAACAATGCGTTTCAACCATGATTTAAAAACCAAGCTGCTGCTTTGCAAACACACCACTCGCTTCTGACCCTTCTGATTTGGCTGAAAGCAAACAAGTGTATCAACAAAACCTCGCACTTCATTGATACAGTACAGTGGAAATTCCCCTTTTTCATTGTGTCAAGATACCATCAGCTATTAGCCCAGAGACAGGCAGTCATGTTTCAAAATCCAGTTTTAATCTTCTACAGAACTCTGTATCTACAATCTTGAGGCTATCTTCCCCAAACGTGATTCCATTCTTTTCTCTGTGGAAAACCCCTTTTACAGAGAGCAGTTTTTAATCTTTGTTCTTCAGGGTACTAATATTTTGTATATGGCATTCATATAATACATCTATCCGTGTCATAGCTGTAAAAATAAACACGTCTCTCACTGTAAAAGTGTGATCATGTTACTATGTTTATTAGACATAGCCCACATCCGAAATACCAGGTATCTGTTCCTTCAGGTGGTTGTGGCACATCACAGAAATGGCAAAAATTACTTGTTCTCCTCTTGGAATCAAAGCTGTGTAATTCTGTGTTTTTCCAATTATGTCATCCACCTACGAAGGAACATCACTATTCATTGATTTGATTAGTAAGAAATTGTGTTTCAATTTTCTACATGCAAAGTAAACAAACACAAATAATATTACTGGCTTCATCTCTTTAGTTCTAGAGACGTAAAATAGCATATACCTAAGCAGCTCTACAGATACAACTTTCTCCCTTTACGTGAGAGGATAGAAAAAAACCCCAAAACTTTTTAGAAGAGCAAAATGAGTAAAATCCTAAGGATTACCTTTTCAAAAAAGACAAAGCAACAGAAGCATTGAAGAAATTATATTAAAAGCTTGCTAGGGATAGCTTTCAGTTTATAGAAAGTATATGTATTCCTGTTCTCTAAAGACAACTCATCCCATTTGAAGTGATTGCATTAGGAAAGTTATATCCTAGCAAAATACAAAATAAACACTTGCAAAAAAACCTGTAGCTCTTTCAGCTTCTTCTGAAAGCTTCAATTTTCACAACTGCATGATCTCTGAGAAGCAATTCCAATCAGATGATATGATCTGATCTTTGGCTCTAAGGCCATTCCCATATGTACTTTAGAAATAGTGCCCACACTGGCTTTACAGCTCTGAAGTTTTGTAGAATTTTATCTTCTGAGTGAGTCTCATCCCTCTTATCAGGGTTCTCCCGCTCTGCTATTGTTACATTCTTTCTTTGAAGATGTTAAGGCAGAGCCAACATCTTTCCTGATGGGAGGGATCTGACTGGTGATCTTTTCTCCCCCTCTTTTCCATCCATTTGAATATTTATATGTGTATACAGAAGTGCCTAGATTTCATCAGAGGAAGATGGTGAACACTGATCATTTGGACAAAACTGATCTACCAAGCATTCAAAGAAGGAACCTCTCTGCGGAGTAACCAGAGAAACTGAATGTATGCAAAAGATGTTCTAAACATGAATTTAATTCATACTTGTATTTTACCTTTATGGAACTAGAAAATTTTAAAGGAGATAGATGCTTTCCTTACAGAGCAGCAGGAGGTCATTTCTGCACTTCATTAATATGTGAAGCATAGATCCTGCTTTCACATGATCTTTCTTGTGATAGGTATTCTGTAACAATGTTCTTACACGCTTCCCTTGTTTGGTGAGACAACAGTGATAAAAAGTCTCTATCTTCATCAAATGGAAGCCAAACACTCTTTAACGTGAGCCATGCTAGCTCAAAACACCTACTTCATGTTAGTGTCCTGTGTTGGTCCTGTTGTTGCTCACACGGATGATGTAAGACTATGCAATGTAAGACAGTGTATTAATTAAGACAACACAAAAATCACAGTAATATATCCATTTATCATAAATCCTGCTGTTGAATCAACAAAACAGTCTACAGCATACCCAGGATAATTCTAAAGTAGAAGAATACCTAAATCCACAAAGCCAGATTGCTTCTTGTACATGAATTTGCTCAGAGCTTCCTTGAATGTTTCTACAGCAACTTCCATCATGGGCCTACATTAAAGGACTTGAGATATAAGGTTTCATTCCTGTACATCAGCTGCTCTGCAGCAATGTTTTGTAGGAGCACTTCTTGGCAGTAAATAATTCAAACTCTTCTAAATCTCACTGAGAAGAAACCAAATTTAGTGCTATGCAAATAGAAATGAAAAGTCTCCATTAAACACTTTCTCCGGGCACTGGAACACTTTCAAAGCTGAGTAATTATGACTCCCTGTGGTTTCACAGGTTAAGAGAAACTAAAGAACAACTTTGAAGTTGCTTGTTGATGTCACAGATTTAAGTGTTTTATATACTTGCCATACTGAGTTCTTAAAATAAACTGTCTCGGAGAAGTTGCACAGGGAATAGCGACTATCCAGCCAAGGAGCCTGTCTTCTGCAGTGTTTACAGGCAGTGTAAGAACAGAACACAAAGCAGTTCTGTCCCCTTTATGCTATCTCAGCCTCCAGTTATCAGCACCATGTGAACCTCCTGAACTAAAGGCTTCATACCAGACATTCACATTCAATAGGAATGGATCAATCTCTGAGCCTCTCCAAATCAAACGTGATCTGTGGTTTATACTGCTATGGCCGAGAACTCTATTAATATCACATACATTTAGTGGTTTAACTTCAGAAATACATGAAAAACTTTTCAAAGTTGTTAAATTTAATGGCAAGGAAAAGGATTCTAATCAGCACCATTTTCTTCACATTAATTTATCTTGAATATTCAACAGTAGGCATATCTATGAGCAGGAGGCAGGAGTATCTAAAGGAAACTGTCTATCCCCAAGCCTTGCTGTCAGCAGTAAAATGAATCCTGAAGTCTCTAAAGATGCCAACTCTTATTGCTTTCTGTTAGGTATGGTAAATTATAATTTTTAAAATTAAACAAACAAAAAAACCCAGATAAGTTGAAGCCATAAAAGCATCACCAATAAAACAGTGGAAGCCTTTGTTCCCGTTCTCTCATGTCTTTGCAGTAACAGTCTTTACTTTTTGCTGGATATGTATTTCTGTAAAGTGAATACAGACTTAGTAATCAATTTAATTAAACTCAGTAACAAACTTTTTCTTTTCCAACTGTTAAAAACACTTAGTGATTCAGATTTGGTTTGTAAAAAATTATGAGGTGTTCATTTGAAATCTTAATCCAAGGAATTGCTCAGGTACTGCAAAGACAACCCAAGGCAAGCCTACGCAGGCAGGGGCAGGCAGGGCTGAGCTCTTTTGCCTGCTGTGTTCCTGGCTGGCCAGACACAAACCAGCTCCAGCCCAAACCACACAACCGTCTTCATGTGATGTGTCCAAGTTAATAGACCTTATTTAGATACAACACTGCACTAATACTTCCATATAGCCTCAAGATCAGAGCAGGTTCCCATCAGATGTCTCAGTGGCCAGGCAGCTGAGCTCTGTCCTCCACCACACACTCTGGTTTGAAAGAATTAATCACCCTAATGGACTTGTTTTCCCTATAGCAAATGACAGCTCTCACATCAAATACCTTTCATTCAAGATTGTAAATATGTTTCTTAAGACACTAGATCTGAAGAAATTCATATCTAGTTATAAAGAAATCTGGGTTCAGTCCTGCAAATTCTTGCTCTGACATAAAGATTCTCTAAAAGCCAGTGGGATGTCTCTCATGAGCAAATGTCCAGGTTAGTAAGACTATTATAAGCAGCTCCCTGTCAATATTTTATTTTTTAAATTAAATTGCTTGTATTGTACTGCTTGTAGTACTGAAGTTTCATGGGACTCCATATACAAACAAATACCAACAAGTATATCAACACATCTCTAAACACTGCTTCCTAAAGTACTTATGTAAGTCTACTGCTAGAGATGTTTCACATACCAAGCTGTGCACTGAATTCACAGCACATACAGTTACAAAAGCAAAGTCTAATTTTACAAAGGCTCCAAAACAATGCATTCAAAGTTTACTCACAGTCACATACAGAAGCCAGCAGCCTGTGCGTCCACATTTTACTCACTTGGCTGCCTGGTCATAGAGCAAAAAGCAAAGTCAGAATGTAATTCTGGGGTTTTACTTTAAAGATAATGGGAAATTTTGCTCTCAGGACACTACTTTACAGGACTAGAAGCAGACTACTTACAAAACACCCCATCTCATCCTATTCTATCTTACCATACAAGTATCTCAAAATACAGGACAATGACACACAGTGTGCTATATGTCCCAAAACCATGCAGGTCATTCAAATATTGTCTCCCCTTGCACTTACTTTTTTTTGTTCCCTTTTGCTTCTGACTGGTGATATCAATGAGACACATAAATATGCTTATTTCAACATGTCAGGGTTGGATTTAGTTAATTTGTTTTTACACTAGTCACACATTTGAATTGACAGACAAGCATTTTAACAGGAACAGTATTTGTTTTGAACAACAGAAGTACAAATTCAATGCAGAGTAACAGAAACTACATTTCAGCTTTCAGAGTTCTTACTTAAGAGTTTAAGAGAATAGAAGCTTGGAACCGTGATACAGGAAACTTTCATTAAGTGTACAAGTCCAATTTCCAATTAATGTAAACTAAAAGGGCCAAATTATAATCTAAAACAAAAACATCCCTCACCCTCTCCCCTCTCCGCCTCCAGTAGATTTAGTTTAACAGTATCCAGCCCAACTTCTTTTGAATTCTCGTTGAGTAAAAAAAGAGACAACTGACATTAAGATAATTACGAAATTATAGAAAATAGGACTAAAGATGAGGTATAATGCAGTTTTTCCACTACTAAATGATTTCTTTATAAAAGTGCCTTGAGAGTCATATAGGTAAGGAGAGCAACTCTGATGTATCCCCTGTCCAAATATTCTGGTTTCATGAAATAACTCTTTGCCTACATGAAAAGCAGATCCCCCTAAAATAATAATAATAATTAAAAAAAAATTAAAAAGTAAATAAAAGGTGGTATTTCTGGAAAGACAGACAGCTATGAAATTTTCTCAAGAAATCTCAGTTTACATACATATAGGAATTAATTTTATGTCCAGAACATCTTTGAATTTAAACAATGAGAAGACTACACAAGTACAGTTGCAGATGTTTGTAGTCTGGAAAGAATTGTATCAGTGCAGATTTACATCTTCCCAGAGCAGATGTGAAACAAGTTGGAGCAGTCCGAGACTTACACATGCTAAGTATACTACAGTAACTGTTCAGGAAAAGAAAAAAGGAGAAAAACAAGAAGTTGAATCATACTCTAACTAAAACACTTTTTCTGGTACAAAAATCTTTGTGTAGCTTAAGGTCTACATAGAAGGACAAAGCAGCATAAATACAATGACTTGAGGTTTAAAAACATCAGAGGAAACCTGAAGAGAAAAACAGAACTAAGAAGCTTGTAAGAGCAAGAAACAAGAAGAAAACAGAGGCAAACAAAAGCAAATGTAAAGCATAAAAAGAAGCTTGTTGTAGAAAAAGGTAAATTAGAACTAAATGCCTTAAGGTGGGAGGAAGGAAAAAAACCAGCAGTGACTTATAATCATATCAGACTAGGAATTAAACTGTATTTCCCTTCACTACTGATCTATTTATATCTAAACTATCAATAGTTGTATCTGTAGCCATTATAAACCACAAATTAAGTATCTTCCCTTAATTTTTGAATTGCATCCAAAAAGAGTTAAACAACATTTTAGAAGCAAAAGATTACAAATTGGGGAACTCAAAAAAGATTTGCAGCTATCAATGAGGATAAAAACCAGATACAGGCCTTTGCAAAACAGGAAAAAGTATTTTGCAAAAGGATATGGTCAAACACTAGAGGTAGCTGAACTCAGGTACTGAATGCTGAAATACATAAGAAAAATATTTCCTCTTTTATCATTTGGGTGGAGAAGAGTGAAAAGAGAAGTAATAATCCCACTTCAAAGTTCCCTTGACCTAGCTGCTTTACTAGAAATCTCATCACTTTTTGCTACCCCTTAAAATTCAGGTAAGTAAACCAATTCAGAAAAAAATCACAAATGTAAACCAAACATTTTGAAGAATTCCAGAAAGGGTTGCGCTGAAGAAGGATTCAGGGAACTGAAAACTGAACCGAATGCTATAGAGTTAATACAGACTTTTCCCCTGAAATATTATACCCATACTCACAGCAACAGATGAGCATTCCTGAACTACTTTGCTTCCAGAAAGTATGCACTTTATTGGCCTTATCATTGATAAGACATTGCTCAGGCCTTCCTAGAGCTCTAAACACGAAAATATTAGTGAAAACACAACTGAAGCCCTGAGCAACACTAGAGGCATTATGATACACATTTAGTTATCTGAGCTATCTTTAAGATATCTGTCAAATCCCTCTAGCTGCCAAAGACAGATGACCACAAGGGAGCCATACTTCCCCCTCACCCCCTAAGGTCTTTCTTGCAACAATGCAGCCAGAATTCTATCAACTTCACTTTGTTCTGCAGTGCTACAGCAAGTGTGGCCCTTTCTTCCTACTCACCATGGGGGATAGATGTGGATGACATCCTGTGGTCTGCTCTTGAGGTGAGCTGCTGTCTCTCTTGTAAAGAGGACTTTGAGTATTGGTTCTTCTGCATTGATGACAGCATCCTCGGGTGAAAGCGTAGCAGGAGACTGTTCCAGCTGCTGGCAGATGGCAACTTGTATTGTACACTCCTCAAATATTTCTAAGATCTTCACAATTAAGACACCAGATTTATCTGGAAAGTAAATGAAAACGAAAAATAAAAATGCAAAATCTGGATGAGGAGAAATAAATTTGAAAATGAAAAATAAAAATGCAAAATCTGGATGAGGAGAAATAAATTCTGGCACTCTAAAGACGTGCATCCCTCTGCTCTCTGCACAACTGTCCCAATGCAAAAAATCCATCTATAAGCAGAACGCATTACCTTACCAAAAGACCTATGTTTAGGTTT